ACATGTAACAATACTCCCAGTTCAAACAACTCACTTTACATCTATCTAACAGCAGATTGCAGTCCTCAAAACTCGAATAATAAAAGTTCGATGACAAAATACATAAAAAAAAACAAAAATCGTCAAAAACCTGTCCTAAATTATTGTTGATGTTAAATGAAAAAAAAAATTAACACATGGTTCATAGACAAAAGTCAATTCGTAAGTTTCACGAACCAGCATGCAATGCGAGATGCAAAACAACAGATAACAAGACACAAATCATGTCCTTACTTTGGGTTCGTTTCATAGAACCTACTCGCAAACTTCTCCATGAGTCGATCGATCTTTTGCGCTTCACCGGGAAGCCGGAAGTTATGTAAGAACAATCGCAGAGCTTGCACAAGATTGGTACCAGTGAAATCCAACTCATCTATATAGGCGTACATTATCTCCCGTTCATATCCAAGAAGTATAGGAAGACACGAGGAACAGTTGAGGATATGAGGCACAGTTGAGGACATGACGAATAATAGAGCTCAGTCTTCTATTGTTTGCTTATTGTGAACAGTACCAAATCTTATTGAATTCTGTCAATATTATTCACTGGATAGAGAAATTTTGAACATTTAAAAATTGTTTTGCTTTTTATGAACAAAAATAACCAAGAGATTTGAAGATAATGCTTAGTTTCAAACAGGTTTTGTCCTTTTACATGGAGTTTAATGCAACCTTAAACATATTTTAAACATTCTTGATTTTACGATTAAATTTTCTGATTTACTATTTCATGTATCATGAGCAAACCATCCATGGGCTTCATGGCAAATTAACATAATCAACTTTTCTTGACTCAATTTATGTTGAAATAAATACTTAAGATGAGAATCAAACGTCTTAAAGTGATTTTCACGTGATTGTCACGCGAGGGAGATGTGAAAAAACATACTTACTGTCCTGGATCACGAATCAACTCACCAATCATAGTCTAAAACAATAATACACCACACTGGGTCAAAATCCAAAGCAACATTTAATGTTTCTACAAATTCCTCAAAGATAGCGTGCAAGTGTGAAAAAATGAAAACTTGAGTGAAAGAAGACAACATCATGCGAAATGAAACATAAGGATTGCAAGGGATATAGATGGATTAAAATGATCCTCACCTTGTCTAGTGTATCATAAACAAAACGATTGCAAGGGATATAGATGGACTACAATGATCATCTTCTTGTCTACTGTATCATAAACGTAAGGATTGCAAGGGATATAGATGGACCAAAATGATCATCACCTTTTCTAGTGTATCATCAGTGTGTAAGAACTGAGCAACTTCCGTTGCTGTCTCACCAAGGAGACCTTCAGATTGAAGGAATTTTATACCTTTTGATGGATTCTTGTTAAATCTTAAAGTAAAGCGCGGGCCACACTATCGTCGAAATGCAACGAATTTCGTGACGAGTCGCTCGTCAACGAGAAAATATGACGATATGGACGAATTCGTCGCCGTTCAGCATGCACACCGAAATGGTTAACGAGTGACGAGTAATTGTTGCATATCTACTCTGATTGGACAAAAAAATCACATGACTAATGTTTACTTTCACTGTGCTGTGGCAAAATGGCGGATTGGCAAGAAATATTAATTGGCTGGTGAGAGAGAGGCGATGTTTGTGGGACAAATTTCATCCTGACTATAAAGATACACGCAATATAAAGAAAAATAATTGGAAGGATGTTGCTCGGGAACTGAAAGTTGCGACCAATAGAGCTTGACGAAGCTCTTGCAACAACGTGTCATACAAGCCCTTTTCTTCTCGCCTTTTATTTATGGGATGTACCCAGAACCTTCTTTTGTATGTACGTCGTACGTCGTTTTTCAGAAATTAGAAGCAGTAGAATTTTTCTCTTCAATAATAGAAGTTTCTTTTTGCGCTGATAATCGTCATTGCTTTTACGGAAAATCGTTACAATGTGGCACATGTACTCGTCACGACGGCTCGTTGACGAGCGACTCGTCACGAAATTCGTTGCATTTCGACGATAGTGTGGCCCGCGCTTAAATCGTAAAATTGAATAAAAGTAAAGAAGATAAGCAAAATTGTTGACCAAACTTACAATTGAATTCCCTTTTCTTTCGTCTCCTTCTTCTGTTTAAGACTCTCAAATTCTTCAGCATTATCGATGGCTTTTGTACTATTGAGAGACGACTGACTACCCCCCGTTTTTTGAGATTGTAAATCACCGGGTTCCCCACGTTTTCATTCTCCTCGGTGCTTCCTTTTCGAGAAATTGTTGGTACACCATCAACCAGATCTGTCAGGAAATTTATATGGAAGAGATTAAACAGAAGTATCGAGGAATAACTATGATGGTTTGGAGATCAATAAGGGATCGCGTGGATCATTAAGAGGTAAGCATAGATCATTAACAGACAGCCTAGATCATCAGGAAGATAGTATAGATTATTGAGAGATAGATTAGAACATTGAGGGTAGCATGGGTCAATAATGAGTAACTATAAACATTAAGATATAGCCTTGATCCACCGCGAGACCAGCAAGGGTAAAAAAGATAACTGAGGGATAACTTACATCCTGAGAGGTTAACTACAATTGTCGAACAACTAGTTACGATTAAGAACATTAACGTGTGTATAAGAAAATAATGGAGTACCTTCGATAAATAGGGGATACAAAGTATAGAAAGATGGTATCTTGATGGAGACAAAATCGTCAGTGTAGCCGATATCAAAAGAGGGGTACAATGGATCATAAAGCGATAACTTATCAAAATGTATAACAATGTTAAGTTTATATTCTCTACATGCGAGTTTCTTCAGTTTCATAAAGATGTTAAAACTCACCAAAATTATCGTCCACCTGAGAATCAGGTTTAAAGTAAAGATCCCTGCTCCATTCTACCATACATTTAAGAATAGAAACGAGACATTCCAGACCTTTGATACGAATACTGCGTTCTTGAACCTGGAAAAATCATATAAAAATAAGATGGCAATGATACTATTCATATAAACACGTGATAAAAACATGTATTATAATCAACATTGTCAGTACAAAATATTAGAGACATGTTCTAGTCCGTTTCATGTTGATAGACTATGCTCCAGTTTTTTCATGTTGATAGACTATGCTCCAGTTTTTTCATGTTGATAGACTATGCTCCAGTTTTTTCATGTTGATAGAGTATGTCCCAGTCCATTTCATAACAATAGACTACGTTCCAGTCCTTTTCGAGTGGCATAGATATGAACAAGAGAATGTAGAGAAGTAAACATTATGAAACATATTCATCAACTTACTGGTGTCGCTCCTAATTCAATAGCTTGACGTCCTTGGGCAACTTTAGACAAATCATTGATCAATCTTTGAAAGATATTCGACAAAGCCAATTCACAGTCGTAATTTAAATATATATCAACGACCGTCTGTGCGTCTGCAATAAAGGACACGAATGGAAATTAATGGCTAATATCAATTGATATTAATGGATGACAGGAAGATAAAATAATAAATTTAATTGTTTGGTCGATTGATAATTAGTAAAGGAAAGGTCACAACTGACCTCTTGCACACCCACGAAGAAAACTCAAACGAGAGGATTGTGAAGACTGAATATAGGATGGGATTTGGAAATAAAAGATGCTTAATTTTTGTACAGGGTTAAGCAAATTGAAGAGATATTTGGTAGAACTGGAGACAATGTCAGTGCAAGCTTTACACCGAAAGTTGACAGTTTGCACCAGCTAGAGAGTTCTCACAAAAATCTCAAGGTTTGCATAAGCCAGTACAAACACAAAAAACATCTTTTAGTCCTTTTGTAAATAATAGTAATGCGAAACAGACAACTTCAACAAAAAAGTTTAAAATTTTTCTCTAACATGTATTCATGATTCATTTTCAAATTATCTTTGATTGATATAATTGATGTAGCTCAGATACGCACGTTTGTACAGGCTAATGCAAACACAGTTTAAGTTTTTATTAAGTAAATAGTGATGTCGGATGAATAGCTTTAGAACATTGAGTTTTGATGTCGTTAAACATTCACGGTGTACATTAAAAAAACACAATTGATTTTATTAAACTTTCTGATGATCAGTGAAAGACTCTCAATGAAAACAAAAGGTTTCTAAAGAAATAAATGATCATAAAGTTCCGAAATTTTCATAGCGTGACTAAACTAGAGAACTGACTACGCTACTTAACACAATCGCTTTTATAGAAAATTGATCGATGGTATTTCAAATATTAGTTGTTTATAAAAAAACCTTGGTAGAAGCGTTCAAACTTTGGAGGTACTTGTCTTCTTTGGCATAAGAAAAAACTTCAAGCAAAGTAGAAATGATTAAATATGGTTTATTACATTGAAACAAGAAGGAAAAGTTTCTCCCTCAAATAAAAATGCAAATAACAATTAGAAACAGAAAACATTGAGTTGGCGTACTTCATGTAAGAAAAGATATAATATCTTTTAACAAAGGCTCCTTTGATGAGGTTAGGCTTCTCTGCACTAGGTTAAATTAATTTCTCATTTGGCATTTTCCGTTTTTTGTTAAGTACTTTCAGTAATATATGTTAGTAATGATTAGACTTTTAACTAATGTCTTTAGCTAAGGTTTTTCTTACACTTCCAAACTCCTAAATTTGCAGGTATTATCGCATTAGCTACAGAAAAGGACAAGAGTAATTTTTACTTTACTATATGACATTCTTCCAGTCATTCAATCATACAATATCATGAGATTATAACGTCATCACAAGAAATCGTCATGGATGACTAAGATACAACAACATAAAAATATTAATTGATCTCAAACCAACATTCACATGAATATCGTTTGATTTTCATGTGATCAGTTCTTTTTTAAATACGATCTCACAATGAACACTTCATTGCACAAGTCACTACAGCTTCAAAGTAGATCGATATAAGAAGAAGACAGAACTATTGCTACTTTATTTTGTTGCATTTTTACTTGTTACAAAAAAGAAGTACAAGAAAAGCTAATTACAACATTATTGCTACAAAATGTAATATGTAAAGAAAGAAATATATTTGATCATAAAAACCATACATGAAAGGAGCTTACATTGTGTTGTTTCTACTGGTTTTTATTGATTTGGTCAGAATGGAGCGATACAAGCAAATGAAGGAAAGATCGACGAAATCATTATTGGACAAGACGTACAAAGAGGTTGGTCGTCTTAATATTTATCAAACATAAACATTTGATAATAAGGAGTGGGGCAAAGTCCATAACCATGAACTAACCATCGTGAGTCACATGAAAGCAATTAAAATTATTCTATAGAGCAAGAGAAATTTTCTCAGTCGATCACAAAAATTATTTATAAATTTGATGTTCTGCTTTTTTGGCTTTGTTGCAATAACTTAATAAATCAGGTTTCCTAACACAAACACAAATTATAATAAAAAGTAAACGCGCTTTGATAATCAGCGTCAGAGAGCTGAACCTTTATATTTTACTAGCTACATGTTTTTTTCTGTCATATAATCATAAGCCAGTCGTAAGAAATTTAATGAAAAGTAGTCGAACGTTTGGGCTTGGATCAAGCTTTTGTGAGCCCCAAACGGTTCAAAAACTATCTCTTCTTCCTGATAAGATATGCTCTGATATTCTTCCTGTAATGAGTAAATAATTAAGTCAAATGTAACTAACTAAATGATTATTTTAAGAGATACTTATGTGCAAAAATCACAATATATTTTATAGTACCTAATAGCTTTCCGTTGATTATAAATTAACCATATTTAGTAAAGAAACAAATATATCCATACGTAATATCTTGTATAAATAGAAGTAGTTTAACCATTGTACGATAGATCGTAGACAACAGACATTGACGTTGAACATTAAGTGTGATCATAATAGTTATCTGTAATATCTCTATTTGTTGGTGTAAGTCAATATATACTAAAGAAGGTAGATGGCTACATCACAAAACCTAACACTCTCTAACTGACATCCTTTATCCCCAAAAGTCTTATAAGTTGAAGAATTTTTTTGTTTTAGAACAAAAATAGCTACAATAAAAGTTGTGATATTTACTAAGAATGTTTCCGCTAAAGCGTTATATACAAAAGTTGTTTTTTTCAACAATGATTTTCTTACACTGATGAGTCCAACGTTTCTTACGATGTGTTTTACTTCCATAAAATTTGATCCCATTCATAGTTTGTAATAAAATGCTCAGTTGACATCTAATGGAGGCACTCCAAATGTTCTCTGTAATATAAAGTTTATAAAAGAAAAGAAAATCCTTTCTTCCGTATTATGGTTTTTGCTTTACTTTTGCCAGACAAAGACAATAGTACCATTAAAAATATTTACTTTGCGCGGGGCCGTCAAAACCACTCGTCACGTGGCCACCGCCCACAACGCCTTTTCCATGATCCAGCCCAGAAAACATTTGATATTCTACTACAAACAACATGTCATTCAGAAATAGAGATGTTAAATAAGGACGTTAACCAGTCTGTGTAATATAATATGGGCTCAAAGGTTTATGGATTGTGGGACTGCTAGGGAGGATATGTGGCACTCCCTCTAAAAATAATTGTTTTTGGGCCGGGAAATTATAGAGATTTGGAGGGCCGTTGGCTTTGTATTTTCATTTGGTACAAAAAGACATTTATCCATAATTTTCACTGCTTTTTCATTTGATTTTCTTGTTTTACAAAAAAATGTCCTCAAAATGCAGTGAATGATGATTTTCAGGAGAGTAAAATTGCCTCAGGGTTCAAACCCAGTTTCCTTGGATTTTCTCAATCTTGTGTCTTTGGTGCTTGCAACTAGCAATTACAACACATTAATATGTATTTTTACTAACTTGAATATTTGTAAATTTAATTGACTATTGTCATGTGACAATAAATTTCTACATGAAATAGTACTTGAATGCGTAACATTTTTGGTAAGTACAACACACCTCTAACCAGAGATTGAAGCCTCCGTACGCCTATGTAACTAGTTATTAGGAAAATTGTTATATTTGTTACTAATATTGAGCTTGTAAGTTGAAATCAACCTTTAAACCATCTTCTCGGACACACATTTTAAGAAAAGAGAAATTTTAATGTCAAAAATACATGTTTTAATTATCACAATGTTAATAGAAGGAAAAATATAGACAGCTAAAATATTTTTCAGTTTGAAATAGAAATCATTAGTAAAGGCAATGGTGTAATTTCTAGAGCAAGTTCTGATAAACATGCATACGAGAGAGTTTTTTAAATCCTCTCTTTAAAGAATGCTTTCAAAGCTTTACAGTGCAATTATACATTTTCACATGGCAAATTGGTAATTACCAAAAAACGCACAGCAATCTACCAATCACAGTTGAGAATATCTTAAAGTATATTATTTTAAATGTAAAATATGCCACGCATTATAATTGTAAAACGACTTAAGTAATGTGCTCAACACATTTGGAAAAAACGAAGACTTTAATATCGAACACACAGTTTTTAATTATTGAAATATCAATAAGAGTAAAAATGTTCTTTTTGAGTATTCTTAGTTCTAAATAGAAATATTTATAAATGTAAGAAGTGTCATTATATCAAAAATGACTTAAATAATCTACTCAAATCATTAATTAAATTTCTTCTAGAATGTTAATCGTGTAATTTGTCCGGATGGTACAAAATGATGTCCAGTTCATAGTTTTGAGTTCGATTTTGAAAATTACCGTTGTTGTCCTTGGTTGAATGGAATTTGTTGTTTTAACGGGAGTTGTTGTCGTTCTGGTTCTGAATGTTTTGGGTTTGGCAAATCGTGTTCTGTCCAATGGAATTCAACACATGTATGAATAAAATAATGTATAATCTTTTCCATGATTACGAATTTCTATATCTTGTCTGGTTGGAATGGATATTTTTTCATTTATTTAGATTTTCATATACAACACAAAAAGTTAGGCAATATATATCTTGAAATATATTATTTATTTTATGAAATTTATTGAGTAATTAATATACCTCTTTAAATGATATCTTTTACGTAGATCTTTTATGGTATCGTAGTTGATTTTTACCTTTCTTTATGACACTGAGCTGTATATATACTGGGAGTGCGCGTATTTAAATTTCATGGCAAGAAATATACTTCTTATTTTTTCGTCTGACGTTAAAACAAACATTTACTAACTATCTTGTGCATTGCACGTTTTCAATTGACCGTGTTACGTGCATAAATTAAACGTTTGTTATAGTTTAAAAACATGACGTTTATTACCTCTACTAAAATCCCCACAGTCACTGTTCAAAGTCTCTGGCTAATAATACATGTCACGTGACTAGCTAACATCGTCACATTTGCGTCATAAATAAGATTTCACACAAATTTAGAAATGCCATCATCAAAATTTTCACTGAAAACTATTTTTGGTGTAAATACTAAATTGCTAACAGCTTGTCTTTCACAATAATTTTACTTTTCTACCAGTCATGCAATCATAACGTGTCAATGACGTCATGAGATTATAACGTCATCACAGGAGTTCATCATTGATGATTAAGATAAAAGGATTAATTGATCCCAAACCAACATTGACATGAATATCAACTGAGCTTCATATGATCAATTCTTAATTAAATATGATCTTTAAGCAAACAATTTCACAATTCACCAGGGGCCAAATGCAAAAAATTTGGATAACTATTATTCAAAACTTTTGCAAAAAATTTGGATAATTATTATTCAAAAATTTGGATAACTATTATTATTATTTGAATATGTCTCCATTCCATTTGATAAACATTTTGAGATCTTCATGAAAAGCTGGGGATTGTCACACTACTCACAGTCACTGGTCAAAGGCTCTGGCTGAAAATACATGTCACGTGACTTGCTAACATCTTCACAGTTGCACAATAAATATATGATTTAACACTAGTTTGGAAATACATGATTAAAATATTTACTGAAAACTAATTTTGGTGTAAATACTAAACTGCAAATCACACTAAATACGCAAAATCACCCTTCCATACTGTATCAGGTATTCTAAATCATCTTTATTTTCTTGCTGAGTCGGTTGATGCAGTAGATTAAAAAAATTGTCTTGGAAGATCTGACTGAGCAGAAAACTTGCGTACATATTTTTTTTCAAAATGTATGCCATTATACTTATTAAACGCAGTGTTTTGGGAAATATACCCAAAGGCCCAGAAATAAAAAATAAATGTGAATATTCATGATAGTTACAATAAATAATGTTATGATAAATGACTTCCTTGGCCCCAAATGTGGACACTGGTTTTTTCGCAAAACAAAACGAAATGGGAGGGAAAACCGGTGGATCCGGTAAAAAAATTTTAGTAAAATTTTTGTTGCTTTACGATGTTTCATATTTTTGTTGTTTTCAATGATCCCGATGATCTACTTTAACATGCAGCGTAGTCAGATTGTAGCTTCGTCGTTCGTATCTTAAATTTGCAAAGTGACAAAAAAGCGGCGACAAAAAAAGCGGCGACAAAAAAGTGGGCTGACTACCCTATTTATTGACACCGCAAATATTTTGTGCTTGAAGAAAAGAAACGAAAATTTTAGTAGAGAACAAAAAATGAAAGAGTGCAGAGTGTTAACAAAAATTTTAATGAATAGACAAAAAATAAAAACTAATAGCAGCTCATACATAAATCATATGAAAAATTCATTCAGTACGTACGACCTGATCATTCACCGACCAGCAAAAAATAAAAAATGAAATGACCAAAGTGATGTCGTGACTTGCATACAAATTATTTTTGATGTCTACTACATTTCATTCGATCAAAATTTCTATGTTGCTTCCTTAAGATCTTCATTAATAGCTGGCTTTCCCTCGTGTGTTTTATCCGAAAATTTGACGATTGTGAAAATTTAGTTTTGCGGAAATTTTTAACGGTTGAATTTAAAAATGCGTTGTACTGATTAATAGTATGCATAACGAAAGTCGCAAGTAGGGATCATTCAATAAGGACGCTTGTTTCTTCGTGCTTCTGTCCAACTTGATCGTTCATTCAATGTCTAGTTATTACGCCTACAGACATAGCTACTCTATAAAAAAACACATTATAAATGTAAACATAATGAATGAATAAAGTCAGAAATTATATATTTTGAAAGAACAAAACTTTAATACCTGATTTTCATGCATTGTCTTGCTCCGTCGGATCCAGGCGTCTCAGTAGGTCTCTTTCACTTTTTTCACAGCGCAGTTTTTACGTGTATATCTTAACGTGTATATCGTAACATTTTTATCTTAAAAATTCAATGAACCTACTTGCAGCATTGCAATTTTGTTTATAAACGTTTAATAAAATTAATAAAAAGTAACGAGTGAAAGGCTACTATTTTCTCACAGCAGTTGACATCTTTTATTGACATTTTCTTAGCTAATATGGGTGTTTTTCATAATTATGGTTCAAATTATAAAAATAGACCATCGGGATCCTTTTTGAATATCTCATGCAGTTACTCATAGCTATAAGTTAATTTTAAAGCTCATCTACTCAACTTACAAACCACAAGACATGGATCATGTTTTTCCACTCGCTTGTTTTCCATCTTCGTAGATTATGGTCCAATCATTTCAATATTAATGCTCACATGTACAAATGCCGTTAGCCAATGTCCATTCAATATGTTTGTACCATTCCATTCACATAGCTATCAACGTAACCAATCGAGGGGCTACTGGTATTATGAATCACCATTTCGATAGATTACTATTTACGATGCACTCTTATGGTAACTTCAAGTGAAGGAAAAGGGATCACTTCAATACCCCAGTTATATCATCACTCAAAGAATGCTTTGTACAGATTTGAACTCCTATGAATGTCAGCTGACCACCTTTGGGTGGGCTCATATAACAATGGGGCCCATCATCATTATATAAAAAAACAACTGACATCCACAAAAAATCCAAACTACAAATGAACATTCTTGGCCATGAATCACCATGACACATGAGTAATGACAAACTAGTAAGAGTAATTGAAGTGAATGACACAGGTGGTAAAGGGACTTTCACAACTCCATCCATGTGGGATCTACTATATAAGAAAATATGAAACACCTGTACGACATTTCGTGATGAAGAACTCTTCATATGACGTTACTTTGCGTTTTTAAATTCTTAATCAGATATATTGAGAATGAGAAAATTGTTATATGTTTTCTGTTTGACTATCCAAATGGTAGAACATTCACATTGCACAAATAGCTTTAGTTGGTTAAGTTTGAAAGATGTATTAAGTTTCAAACGATCAAAGGCTTTACATCGTTATCAAAGCATTTTACACTGAAAGCTTTCATATTACGAGTCCTACACTTAAGACTAGTTGATTATTCCATGCAACTCATACTTCAGTAATCCGTCAATAAAAAGACAAAATTCACCTTTCTTTCTACAAAGTTTAAATGACTAAGTTCATGTTGTTAACATTTGCTTAATTTACGTCATGACTAAAATTTTTTTTTGTGATTGGCTCCTTAGGAGCTTTTCACTTTTCAGTAAGACAATAAGTAATCCTTCTATGTATTTGAACAAAAAATTCATTAGAATCTACAATTTTTTTTGGCGTTTAAAGTCGTTATGCAAAGCAAAGATGCAATATGTTGTAGGTTAAGATTCATGAGACGATAATGAATTTATAAACTGGACTTTAATCTTGTCCAAATACTCATTGAATCTTCAATCATATGTTCCTAAGTAAAGTTTAGGAGAGAATTTAAGGGCGTTTTGTTTTCCCCGAAATTCTACTACTAAAAATATAGTAGAGAATCGTAGAAAAATGAGCAAAAAACAATTACGGCTCTCGTTCATTGCAAGTCTACACGTTAATCTATGAAAACTGCTCTTCTATGCATTGATAGTTTCACAAGAACAATAGAGATAAATCCAAAAACAAATTATCATTTATCGTCAGTTTAGTCGCTTACATTTGTAGTTTCCAGCCGTAGGATCTATTTTCATACTTGATTTTGAAACAGGTAGCTTCGTGTGTATCGTATGTCATAACGGTTTTCCTCTTTCAAATTTCTTTTTGCTGCTGCTATCAACACTTAGGATGTGATACTGATAGTATATATCTGTACATCGTGGCTTTCAAATGTTTAAATATGTGCGGTATGTCCTTGTTCATTAGCATTCAGATATTGGCGGTCTTGATTTTTTATCAACACGTTTAAGTACATCTGTAATCAATTGAGACGTGTTTCGGTAACTAGTCTTCGAGGAGAGTTGAAGGCAACAACTTTATTTTTCTTGGCACAATCACAAATCTTTATACTTGTCATCTATTTGTAAAGTCTTGTTCCACCTCATGTGAACAACATCTACTTTCCATGACGCCTCGTGGCTTATATGTGGCTTGAAGTGGATGATGTCTTTATAAATAGTGTTAAGCATCTCATTATATGTATTTGTTCCACATGATTGTTTAACCCTGTGGGAGCCGTGCCTTTTCAAAAGTTCTTACACATCCCGTTTGGTGATTGTTGCCTGTGAGGTACAACGGCGTCTATAGGGTTAAAATACATTGTTTGTACTTGAACAAATTACCGGATATCTATAAAATCCAATTTTTAAAAATAAAACGTATTGCTGCCAAACAAAAGAACTATGCTCTCCCTTCATTAATATATATGAAATGCTACTAACAATTGACTATTTTTCAGCGATAATACGTCAATTGTTTATTAATTAAATCATTAAATACCGCTAATATTATAATTTTGGGCTAGAAGATATTGGTGGACGCAACAAGGAAACCTTTGGTGACAGCTGGGTGTTATAACTATTGCTACCACCACGACCCTCGAGACACTCAATTCTTCTTTCCAGACCTGTAATTTTGCCATCTAACATCACAAATTTTTTAAAGTAATATGAACGAACAGCAGTGACTTGCTCAACAAGTCTTCGCAATGGAGTGGTAAACACTGGACGTAGTACGAAGTTACCAAGCTGTATAACAAATGCCATAACATATCGTAACAAGAGGCTCACGTGATTAATTGAAGTGTCATTCATATATTGTCTGATCTCCTTTCGTTTTAAAGTCTATGAAGTGAGAAAAAGATACTGTCAGCACATTCTTTTAACAAAATATTT